CGATTTCCGTCAATTATTTTTATGATATATGCAGTGGTTGTTGGACAGTTATATCCGTTGACATTTGGTATTGTTGGATTAATAACATCAGTGTGTATGATTTTCATGGGAATAATGATAGTTTATATAACACCACAGTTACGAAAAAATCTATGTATCGTTTTCAATTTGCGTAATAATCAAGTACATACACAACAAACTCCCCAACAAAATTCGGCAATACCGAGAGTAACGGCCGGTACTGGCAGTACAAATAAAAGACAAGTTAAATCTCTGAATACGCAAAAACAAACAATTCCAGAATAGTGTATTCTATAAACTAACAAAGAATCGAAGATTATGAGGTACTCAAACTTTATTGAAAGTACAGATTTATTCTGTGCATTATAGAACCAGTGAACTATTCTTCTTTATGGATCCTTGAGTATATCTCGTGATGGTTCTTTTATCCTTCCTGTCTATTTTCTAACAAATTCTTTTTACCTTGCCCTAATGTCGTAATTATTGTGCGTGACATATTATATTTATTTTGAGAAAACTATTGTAATTTATGTTCTTTTTCTTTTATTAAATATAGTCTGAAAAAGAAAATTTATAAGAATTCGTTAACTGTTGACAATTGAAAAGATAACAAATAAACAAGCATACATCAATGAAAATTATAACAATACATATAAACTCGTGCAATTCTACTTCTAGATATCACGTTAATATACTTGAATAGTATAATGATAATTTGATGTGCTCAGTTAACCTGAGTAAAATGATGCAATTAATTTTTAGCAATGCCAATTAACTTCTTCATACTCATATATACTCAGAATACATAACTTTTAAATTTTAATAAGTTAGTGTAATACTTCTGTATTAGTTACTCGTACTACTGCTGTATAAAAGGTATAAAAAATATGTTCTCTATTTCAAAAATCGCTTCCGTCTTGATTTTAATTATATTGTAAGATCTATTTTTATTAAAAGCATTTCATATGAGTTTAACATTCAATAAACAGAGTAGTAAAATAAAAATAAAGTCACTTTTTGCATAACAAATAATGATAATATGTCAGCTTGTATGCGCAACGTATGAACTCAGAAATAAGAATTTTGATAATGAAGTTTCTGAGCTGCCTGATACCATTGCGCAACGCTTACTCTGAAATATGTCAAAACTTCATAATTCCTGTTAACACATACTTTTAATTATATGTGTTAACTTTTAACACAATTTCATCAACAGATGAAGAAAAATTATATGAATTCTCCTTCTGGCCCATGTTAATTACATACTTCATATGTCGAAGTAGTTTGATATAAATTTAGGTCAACTACAACTAACGAAGATTATAAAAGCATATATTCTTTTCTATATGACCTTTGAAATCAGAACAAAATCTTATTTTTCCGTAGTTCTATTTATATCAAACAATTACCCAGAAAAAAACTTTAATTAAAAAAATTGGAGTCATCGCGTTACAAGAACTTCATGATACGTATCTTTTAATATAAGATTTAATCGTCAAACAGAAAAGAACAATCACATCATCATCATGTTACACTCTGTATTTCCACTGTAATAGCCTTATGACTCATCTAATTGACGTCATATTTTTAGAGGATGTATATACGGTCGAGATATATTATCCAATAAAGAAATGATTTTTCTAGCTCATGTATTTAATAAAAAGAATTGATAAAATATTGTCCTAAACGTCATCGCATCACGCTCGTACAAACTGATACCAAAAATGATTATATCAAACTTTTTAATGAGTTTCAAGATATACTCGAATGAATTTATCATCACATCTATCACTGTTTTAGTTTCTATGTAATATTTGAAACAATAATATTGTAATAAGTTTACTAATGTAGATTCTATCATATAATGTTAAGTTTATCATCTGTATTTTGTTTTATATAGGTAAGGAATTGTTCTCTGTTTGAATAACCCCATCCTTAATCATTGCACTTTAATACTTGACTGTTAGATGTGCGTACCATGCTATGTATTAAAGACTTAATTGAAGAAATAAAAAATATAAGCCTCTTAAATGAAGAAAGAAACGTCAATTATGGGACAAGTCATTTCTTTGTTAATTGTAGGAGAATATACTTCATTGTCAAGGCCGATTATTTATATCAATTAATAAGGTCTGAAAACATATAGCATGCAACATCAAATATTTACTTAGAAGAAAAATGACGTTTTGCACTCACTAAAAGAATAGAGATAGAGATATACTAAAAAAAAAGTTCTTATATAATTACTTCTGAAATTTATCTAAATAACAATATAACTACAATTTTATATTTTAGAAATGAAAGATCGTTTGTCTGTACTGGAAAATACCTCTCAATCTTTAATGTATAAGTATTCTCGCCGTACGGCGAATATTGCAACAATTATTGGTGTTATAAATTGGTGTCTCAACTTCACTGCTCTTCTTCTCTTTCTTGCAATTATTATTATTGGTATCAAACATCGACGAGATCTTCGTGATATTTCATTAGTATTAACATATAACACTTGTTTCGCTGCACTTGTTACATGTCTTGTTTCTGCTGTTATGACTACTTCGAATCTATCGAATGGTTTCCTCACTTCTAATTTTACCTTTTGTTGTGTTTGGGGTTTATTATATGATATATTTCAATGTTCAATATATCATAGTTACTATTTACAAGCATTCTATCGTCTTTGTCGAGTTGTTTTCTATAAAAAGAAATCTCTTGTATCTTATTCTTTCTTTATCATGCTTGTCATTGGTCAATGGTCATTTAGCATCATTATACTTCTACCACCTTTTTTTCTCAATTGGTACGTTCGCCTACCTACAGATCAATACTGTCTTGTTCCATATACACATGCGATGGCAGAAATGTATCATATTTTGGTTCTCCAGCTGATTCCTTTAGTATTTATCACATCAACTTATATTTGGATCACAGTATTTGTTCGATAT